CAGGGTGGGACAGCCTCCCAGGGGAGAGCCAGCACCCACCAGGTCCACCAGGGAGCCTTGCCTCTGCTGGAGAGGCCCAGGCAGGCCAGCAGCTAGAGCTGGCCCTGCTGATCCCTGGGAGGCCCGTACACCGGAGTGGCCAGGGGGGCAGGTGGATGTGCCGGGGGGGACACCTGGCAGAGGCCATGCGAATGATGGCCGAGGCAGAAGGGAGAACACTTCAAGCATTTGAGGAACACGGGGAGAAAGGCCAGGTGGCCAAGGCCCAGGCTAGGGAGTAGCCAAGGAGAGGCCAGACGGAGCCTGGGCAGGCCCTTGCATGCCAGGTGAAGGTCTGGCTTGGATCCTAAGAGCTGCTGAGCAAGGGTTTAAACAGGTGTGACGCTGAGTGTGTGGGGACAGACGGGAGCGGGGCAAGAGTGGACACAAAGCGGAGGGACAACCAGGTGACCAGGGCCAGAATCACGGGCACAGGGAAGGGGAGGGCACAGAGGGATGTCCAGGGAGGGGCCTGGAAGCCCGTGAGGCCTGGGGCACCAGGACAGTGTCTTGGCAAATAGAGGACACAGTCCCCAAGGGTAAGGGCGCTCTGTCAGGTTGGTAACAGACTTCGGTGCCTCTGCAGTGTGGCTTCTGGCCTGAAGTAGGAGGGAGGGCAGAAGGGCAGGACCTGTCACGGCTCTCAGCTTCTTATAGTCTCAGTGCCCTCCTGAGAAAGGAGGGTTACGGTTGGCAGAGCCTCCCAGCTGTGTGCAGGGCACCACTGAGGCAGGGGCACCTGGCTGCTAGCGGGTAGCACAGACGACTGGGCCAGGGGTCGGAAGCGCCTGAAAAGAAAGCCCTGAGACCTTAGGGGAAGGGCAGGATGGGTGGGTGGGAGTGCAGCACAGTTGGGGAGGCGGATGAAGCCTTCCGTAGCAGACTCTGCCCTCATGGGAACCAAGCCTGGGCATGACTGAGTGTAACCAGGAGGTGGCGAGGTCAGGGCTGGGCTGGTGTCCATCCTGAATGGATTTCACCTGGGAAGGGCTAAGGGCAGAGATGGAAAGTCTGAGTGAATGAAGGACCCACTCAAGGGGCTAAGAGGGTGAGCATCAGCCAGGAGCTGAGGGAATAAGTTCCTGGTGGACATGAGACTCATTTTCCTGGAAGAAGGCTGGTGGCTCTGATGATCCAGGAGGGACCAGACCATCTGTCAAGAGCATGATTAGCCCGGGGACTGGGTACCCAGACTCTCAGCCCTGAGACTGGGCCCAAACTCGGGGTGAGGCAGGAATGGCCTGTGTGGGAGGGGCAGAGTTCAGGGTTGTAGGAGGAACATCGTGGAACAACAGGAGTTCCCCCAGGAGAGAGGAGAGCTCTCAGTAGCCAGCAATGGCCACTAGAAAGGCCCACAGCAGCCACACATGGTGCCCTATGGGCAGGTCTGGGAACAAGGGAGGCCTTTTCCTGGTGGGGCCCCAAATCTGCCATCCTCCACCATGGAAGGAGGCATCTCTGTGCCAGCCACTATGCCTAGTGCCCTCCACACACCAGCTCCCTCAACCCCTCACCACAGGAGACCCCAAGGCTCTAGGCTGCCAGTGCCCAGATGCTAACTCCTGCCCGTGCCCAGCTCTGCATTCCTGAACTGAGGCTTGGGAGGTAGACTGGAGCAGACTGTTCAGGAGAGGAGCCTGAAGGGGTGGAGAAAGAGGACCTCGGGTGTGGCTGTGGAGGATGCCCAGCAAGAGAGAAGAGGCTGAGGGCCCCTTCCAGGATAACCGCTGGTCACATGTGAGCGTCCTCTCTCACCTCCAGGCTCCTGGCTGGAGGCAGGGCTGCGGTGAGCTGTGGACGATGCCCTTGGCCTGAGCAAGTGGCCGTGCCTTGACTAGGACCTGGGTTGAGGAGCCAGATGTGGCCCCAGGAGGAAGCCAAGGAGCTAAGGACTAGACCCTAGGGAAGCAGTCTCTCTCAGAAAGAGGTGGGGCTCTGGCCTCACCACGTGGAGCCACCCCCCCCAAGAGTTCTGGGTATCACGCCCTGACCCCGCATCTCCACCCCAGCACACGGGTAGCAGGGACCCCATCTTCTAGGGCAGGATTTGCTGGCGAGGAGGGAGATGAGCAGAGGCAGTGGACGCGGAGGCCCGGGGCTGGCGGGCCTGGGCGCGACTTACGTTCTCGTGGCGCATGTGCTTGAGGAGGCGCAGTTCGCGGTAGGCGCGCTTGGCGAAGAGCTCCGACTGGAAGGGCCGGTACAGTTTCTTGATGGCCACCTTGGCGCCAGTGCGGCTGTCCACGGCCGAGCTGCGGGACGCACTGGTCAGCGAGAGGGCCGAGCCACACCGCGCCGACGCCCGCCACCCCGCCCGGCTCCCGCTCACCACACCGCGCCGTAGGCGCCGGAGCCCACGGGCTGCAGGTCCTGGTACACGGCGCGCACCTCCCAAGCCGTCTTGGTCACCTCCTGGCGGTAAAAGCCCCTGCGGGCGGGCGGTGGAGAGCTCATGGCGCCCCAAGCACCGCCCCCGCCACGGACCCCCTGGGCGCTGCGCCCCGAGGACCGGGGGCCCGGGATCAGCGGGACTCCCTGGGCGCGCGCCCGGGGCCACCGCGTGGGCAAAGCCTGCTGCGCGCGGTCGCCCGTCCGCCGCTGGGGCCCTCCGGCTCTCCCCTCCTGGGGCCGCCCTCCAGGCCGTCAGGAGTCGCCGACCCCGGCCCGACCCCAGCCCCGGCCCGGGGAGCGCGCGGTCCCTCCCCTGCCCGCGGACCAACCGGCCCCCAGGCCGCGCGCACGTGACGCCCCCGCCGGCCCTCTGGCCCCAGCGGAAACCTGAGGCGGCCGCCGCGGGGGGAGGGCCGAGGGCTGGGGGGAGGGGCGGAGCGGGGGAGGGGAGCGCCGCCAGGCCGCGCAGGGCCGGCCCGGAACGCACCGGAGACCCCGGCCGCCTCCTCTCCCAGGCCGGACTCCCCCGGCCCGGGTGCGGGGTGTCTTAGCACAAGTCCCGTGGGGCGCGCGGCTCCTCTTTAGTAACCACGCCCCCAGGGAGCTGGGCCCATCCTGGGCAGCCGGAACCGCAGCGCTTCTACTCCCAACTGCAAGTCACTGTCCACCAGCCTGGCCAACTCCACCCCACCAACCCGGGCCCCACCCCCGAGGCCCCTGAGCTGAGCCCTGTGTCCCCCACGTCAACGGCCCACCTTGCAGGCCGCCCCCTTCCCCTGGGGCTGATCCATCCACGTCCTAGTGTGGGGTCCCGAGCACCTATGGCCTGCATCCCCCTCTCCCTGTGACCAAACCTAGGCTGCATCCCCAACATCCCTCCCCGGGACCACGCGATCCCAAGCCTCCCAACCCCTGGAGCCAGAGAGGGTGGTCCTGTGGGTCTCCCTTGGGCCCCGGTGCACACCCAGCTCCCTTCTCTCCACCCACCTGGCAAGTGGGAAACCTGCTCCAAGCATGTGCAAGTCCCTTTGCCTGTCCCACCTTCTTCCCGTCTTTCTCCCTCCTGTTTGTCCTGAGCCTGGCCTGAGCCTCTCCTCTCTCTGCAGAAAGTTATACCTGACCCCAGGGGTGAAGGAGGGTCCTACTTGGGCCCTCAGTGCCCCCCCTTATCCCTAGGTGGGGGCATCAGCATCATCCTTCCAGAGGTCTGGCCACATCCTGCACCAGATGCTCCTGGAGGACAGAGCAGGGGCCTCTGTCCCCGTCCCCAGCCGCCCCCAGTCCAGTGACCCAGGTCTGAGACGGAGTGGGGTAACAGGATCCTCAGGGCCCCCTGCCTTTCCCTCTGTGCCCTGCTGGCCACCATGAATCAGCAGCTCAGAGCCGGCCAGAGCAGCTTTGCACCTGGGCTGCAGGCTAGTCTTCCGCAGCACCCAGCAGTTGGAGACTAGCCAAAGAGAGCGGCCTGGGGCCACTGGAGCCACCACCACCTGTGCCCCTCATGCCCTGGGCTGCCTCCTCCAGGAAGCCCCTAGCTGGCCCACTTACTCCCTGCAGTGGAGCCCAGGGGTCTGGCAGGTTTCCCCATGTGGGGCATGTCCCAGCTCTGCTCCCATCCCCGGCACACCCCACCCCCCAACAGCAGGACTTGGCCCAACCTGGTCTGCAGGGTTCCTTAGGACCTGAGGCCCAGTAGCCACACTGACCAGGCCCCTGGTGTTCCAACTCCCAGATGGTCTCCTCCCCCAAGGCCCAGGGCAAAGGCACAAATGCCCCCGTCCTAGGGACATTTTGCCTGATCCCTGTTGAGGCCAGTGCCCTTCCTCACCTGAGCTGCAGTGAACGGTAGGAGCTAGTAGCTCGGTGTATGTCCTGAGGGCTGAGGTGGACCTCTTTCCCCTTAAGCAGGAAGGAAAGGAAAGTTTTCCCACTTTACCCAGCTCCAGGGAAGGATAAGCCTTTGCTCCCAGAGATCGTCCCCCAGCAGTTTCCCTGACCACTGATCTACAACCAGACCAGAAGCTGAGCTTGCCCAGTGAGCTTCTCAGCAGGGCAGCTGGGGTTGATTTGTGCATGGCCATCAAGCTCTGTCCCGGGTCAGAGCCCATTAGCCTGGGTGTGGAACTCACCCCACCCCACCCCCAGTGGCCCTGGGCTCTCCGGGAGCAGGGAGGGTGCTGGGCTGAATATGGCTGCTTGTCTGACTGGAGACCCAAGGGATCTGGGCGGTGCAGGGTCTGGGGGGACCAGAGCAGCTGGGGGTGTGACGCACAGATCCAGCCACCCTCTCCCCAAGCAGTGGGGACAGCCAGGCAGCGGGGCCTCAGGACTCAGGACAAAAGCTGAGTGAGAGAGAACCCCCTTTATTGTGAAACCCTCGTGCAGGCACTTGACGTTGAGACCTCTGCAAGGTGGGAGGTCACCACCTGACACACGGAACACCACCCCCTCACAGAGAAGCCCCTCGATGGGGGACCCACACCCCCGACACGTCTTAGGCAGGGTCACGTCCCAGAGGTTACTAGATCAGCTCCGTTCTGGAAGAAGGGAGGATACGAGCTGACCCATAGGCCAGAACAGCCCAGCGCTCAGCTGCAGGGCTGGAGGGTGGGCAGAGGTAGAGTGGGCAGAGGCTTCTTCATCAGCTCCGGGCCAAGGTCAGGGTCTGAGTCCAAGGGTACACTGGTGGGCGCCACTCCCTGCTGCCGAATCAAGGCTGGAGCCCCTGTGCCCACCAGCTCTTCATGCCTGCCACAGCCCCCACACTCAAGGAGAAAGTCCCTGGCTTTTGTCCCCTGGTTGCCCCTTGCCCACCTGAGCCCTTCGCATGGTGCACCCAGGATCTCAGCGGCAGCACCCCACCCCCCACATCAGGAACTGAGGGAAAGGAAGTAACAGTACGGCCCCTCACTTCAGGCTTCTTGCTGGTCACGGCACCCACAGAGTCACACGCGCCTCGACATGTCAGTGCCAGGAGTGCACATTAGTACACGTGTGCCCCCCACAGCCCAGGTGAACACGTGGCCCTGGGATGGTCTGCTCATGTGATACCTGGCGGCAGTCTCAGCTCTCAGACCTTCAGGTCTCGGCATTTCCCAGGGTAGCCCCCACTTCCAGGTCAAGAAGCTCTGACAAGCAAGACCCTCCCTTCAGTCTCCAGAGGCCCCTGGCCCCAGTGCACCACGCCCTCCAGAGACAGCCCTCTGGGACTGAGAAGATCTGGAGACAGACACACTCCCCAGGGGATCCCCTGTGGCATCCAGGGGAGGTCCTAAGGGAGACCTAGATTGTTGGAAGGAGGCAGGAGGACCGAGGAAGTCCAGGATGCTCCGTCTAGACTCCTACACCCGCGGCTTGCACACATGCACACCATCGTGCATGCACATGCATACAGACTGCCCACGAGGAGCAGCGTGCAGGCGGGGGACCCCAGGCTAGGGTCAGGGCGCTGGCCACAGTGGTGTTGGGAGGCACTCCTCGTGGGAACGCGGCAGGCTGAAGAAATGGGCCGGCATGCTCCAGCCCGTCTTCTGGTCCCCGTGGCTGGTGGGCACATGCCCCTCACTGCTCAATCTCCAGGCTGCCAGGAGACTGCGGTGGCTCTGCAGGCTTGAAGCTGAGGACCTCCTGGTAGGTGAGCTCTGGGAAGTGAAGGGAAAGGGTGACATCATGCTGTCACTGGGCCACTGCCCCTGCCTCCCAGTCCGGTGCCACTTGCCCAGCCCAGGACCACCACCCTGAGGGCAGCCTCAGCCCCTGGGGCTTCCTTCCAGAGCCTGCCCTGTGCCGCCCATGAGCCTCTGCTGGACACACCCAGCCCCAGGAGTGCGGGGAGTTCGGGGACCACTCTGGGCAGGAGCTGGACACCTCCAGCAGGAAACAGGCAGCTCCTAGCCTGCGGGGAAAATGAAGCCCTGAGGCCCCTGGGCTCCACCGCTCCCAACCCCCAGCCCTCCTCAAGCCCACCCTTCCACTCCTCCACGGTGCGCTCCTTGGCCTCAACGCTCTCATCATAGGGCTCGGCCTCAGGCTCATCGTCAGGGTCATGGTACTGGCTGAAGTAGGCATGGGCCAGGGCCTCGGCCGCACTGACCCTCTGGTCACTGTCGAGCACCAGCATCCTTCCCAGCAGGTCCACAGCTACGGAGTGGTCAGTGGAAAGGCGGTGGTCAGTCGTGCATCTAGGGCCAGACATGGAGCCCAGCCCAGACCCAGGGCCCATCCTCACCCAGGGGGTTGGCTCCATGGAAGATGCTCCTGAGGTCCTTCTGGGGCATGGGGGGCAGGGACTGGATGTATGTCCGGGCCTGGGGGCACACAGGAAGGGCCTGAGGGGGTGGCTCACACCCTACCTCCCCTGGCCCGAAGCCAGGCAGGGACTTGCTGAGAGAAGCCCCCAGACTCATTGACTGCAACAGGACTGGACAAGAGCATGCATAGAGGGGCGCCTGGGTGGCTCAGTCATTAGGCGTCTGCCTTTGGCTCAGGTCATACTTTCAGGGTCCTGGGATCGAGCCTCACATCGGGCTCCCTGCTCGGCAGGAAGCCTGCTTCTCCCTCTCCCACTCCCCTTCCTTGTGTTCCCTCTCCCGCTGTGTCTCTCTCTGTCAATCAAATGAATAAAATCTTTAAAAAAAAAAAAAAAAAGGAGCATGCACGGACCAGAGGCATCCCCCACTTTGGATATGGTGGCTCCAGAGCCTTACCTGGGTCTCCATGCCTGGAGCACCCCACTGTCCTTGGCAAAAGCACTGCTAGTCAATGCTGAGACTGTGCCCTCACTGTCCCTCATGCCAGGAATGTCTTCCCTGTTCACCTGTTTCTCCTTGGGCTCTATTCCACTGTGACCCATGTTTCCCACATGGTTCCCGGTCTATTCCCACAGAGCTTCCTCCAGAGCGCCCAGGAGCTTGGTTAGCAGAGGTTGCTGGTGGCTGGTGACTCACGTGTTCTGAGGATATCTTTGCTAGAACCTCAGGGCTGGGTGTGCCCACCACCTCCATGATTCGCTTCAGCTGGTCGATGTCTGACTGGCTGAGGAAATGCCTACTGGCCAGGAATAGACCCTTCCCAGGCCCCCAGATCCCAGACCTTGGAGCACTGCCCAAAACCTGCTCTCCTACAGCTGGAGCCAGTGAGCCTAAGGTGGCCCAGCGTGGGGCAGAGGAGGCAAGGCCAGCCAGAAAGGGCCAGCGCCCACCTCCCCTGAGCCCCACCCAACAGAAGGGGACCCTGGCTCACCCTCCTCCCCAACCTGGGCCAAGGATACAGTCATTTCCTGGAAAGAGAGCCTTTCCCTGGAGCAGCTCAGCCATGATGCAGCCCACAGACCAGATGTCCACTGTTGGGGAAGGAGTCTCCATTAGTCTGCCCTCCCCAAAGACCCTCTCAGAGAATTAGGGATCTGCTCAGACTGTGCCAGCTCAGTGGCCTCTCAGTCACACCCCGGCCCCAAAACAGCAGAGACCCCCTTACTCCTCTAGGTACAACCCTGGGTAAGGGGAAGAGTTAGCCCGGGACCTATTGTGCTTGGTCCCTCTAAGGTCTGTTTTTGCATGACGGTCCCTGTCCTCCAAAGCTAGACACACACCTCCCCAACGGCCTTGGCTTTTGCCCCATACCTACCCACCCACCCTCCCCAGGCCCTGGTGTGAGCTCTGCCTGCCCACCGTGGTCCAACACAGCACACCTGCCCCTGTGTGGCTTGACATCACCTGTCTGGTTGTAGTGCATCCAGTTGAGCATGATCTCAGGTGCACGGTACCAGCGAGTGGCCACATAGCCAGTCATCTCTTCATCAGCCTGGCGGGCTAGCCCAAAGTCCAGGATCTAGAGCGACCACCAAGCTTGTCAGCACCTCCCTGAATGCCCCCTCCACGGCCGGGCAGGCCCCTCACCCACAGGCGGCTCACCCTAAGCTCGCAGTCCTCGTTCACAGCCACGTTGCTGGGCTTCAGGTCCTGCAGGGCAGGTGGGTTGTGAGTGCTGGAAAAGCACCTGGGCCGGGCCTGCAGAAGCCCCGACCCTCACCCGGACGCCGCACCTACCCGGTGGATGATCCCCGCAGAGTGGATGTACTGCGAGGGGGAGAGGGGGACACGGTGGGAGGGTCAGGTTCTGACCCCCGGCACCGCGCCCTGTGCCCGCCCACGCGACGCCCACCTTGAGCCCGCGCAGCAACTGGTAAACCAGGAACTGGACGTGCTCGTCGCTCAGCGCCTGGCACTTGACGATGTTGTTCAGGTCTGCGCCCATCAGGGTGGTCACCAGGTACCTGGGAAGGGTAGGCGGTCAGCATAGAGGCCCCGCCCCCCACCGGACGCGCTCCTGCGTCGGCTGCCACTCACACTTCGCTGAAGTCCTCAATGGAGGTGGCCGGCGTGAACACGTCCAGCAGCCCGATGACCTGCGTGGGGACGGGGGTCAGGATTCGGAGCTCCCGCCGGAGCGCCCCCTGGGTGCTGCGTGCCCCGCGGGGAGCCCCGGCAGCTCGGCCGCCCGCCCCGGCGCGCCCCACTCACGTTCTCGTGCTTCAGGTGCTTGAGCAGCCGCAGCTCGCGGTAAGTTCTCCGCGCGTGGATCAGAGACTGGAAGGGTCGCGACAGCTTCTTCACCGCCACCTTCTGGCGCAGCCGCGCGTCATAGGCTGAGCTGCAAGGGCCCTGAGTGAGGCGGCGCACGGGGGGGGGGGGGGGCCGGCCCAGCGCCCCAGGCCCTGCTCCTGTCGGGCCTGTTCTTCCCCGCCCTGCGCGGCGCTCAGACGGTCCCTCGGGTGGACCGGCACCTGGGAGGCCTCTCCTCTGTGCCTCCTTGGGGCCTGCTCCTTCTTCAAGAGGCGGCCCGCCGGCATTCCAGCCCAGAGGGTCCCGGCCTGCCCCACCAGGGAGCCCTAGGGCAGAACCTGGATCTTCCCCCCCCAGCTCAGCATGGGGCTGGGGGAGAGTCTCCACCAACTGGTCAGGAAAACAGCCATTGCAGACCATCCCTTTTCACCCCAAACTGTCCTCCTGCTCCCCTATTGGTTCATGGCTCCGGGAGGCTCCCTCAGGGTTTCCAGAGCCACCTGCAAAGCCCCTGGGTCCCCACACTTCTGAATATACAAAATATGGAGGAAAAACTGGCCAAAAGCGTTTACCGCATTATTATTTTTAAGAGTGAGAAACTGGGTACTGTGAAGTGTCTGGGCCCAGAGAACGTTCCCCTTGCCGCACCCTATTCCCCAGAGGTCCAGATGCTCCACCTCCACACCGGCTTCCACAGCCATCTACTCTTCACAGGAGACACAACAGTCATGGGCATCATCTTCAAATGCAAACGGCCTGCCCCCCCACCCTCCCAGAGTCCTGCTGGCCTCCGCATGGAAGCCCTGCTAAGAGCCATCCATGCCTTCAGAGACCGCTTCCTCTCCCTGATAATCACTCCTTCCCTCCCTCTCACTTCACATCCACTCTCTAGATCCCGCTTCCCCCAGCAACGAGTGGAGTCTACACAGCCCAGGGAGCAGCTCCTGCAGCACCTGGGATGTCCATGGGCCCAGGTGGTGGTGAAGGAAAGCCAGCTAGGTGCCTGAGGCATCCACGCCCCTTCCCCCAGACTGTGGCCTGTTGGGGAAGGTCCACGGCACTTCTGGAGAGGCAGGTAGGGGAATGGCTTCTACCACGGGGCAGCAGATCCTTTTGCCCAATTGTGTCTGCACAATCGAGTGACAGGGATTTGGCACTGGCTCACCAGCTTCATCAGGAGAATCCAGGAACCCAGGAGAGGGCCATCACCTGCGCTGGGCACCGCCCACTAAGTGCAATGGGGAGAGACCCAGGCCTCCTTTGGGGAACTTGATACTCTCTAGGAACTCCCAGAAGGTGATTCGAGACCGGAGGTGATTCCAGCAAGGACTCTATATTCCGCAGGGACCACTCATGCATTATCCTGACCCTCTTCCGGCCCTTGAGGTCTTAGAGATGAGGAGAGAGGCCTGAGGCTGGAATGGATGAAATGGCCAGCCTGAGGATTCTGGCAAGCGGGCCAATGACAGCAGATTGGGGAGCGGCAGGGGAGGGAAGAAGCCCTTGCTCCGGCTCCAGCACTGACCTCGGGGGTTTCAGGAAGTCCCGCTCTTAACTTTCTTTCAGAGCCAGGAGCAATGCCCCATCCCTAGGGGCTCCGGCCTCCCCACCTCCAAGACTCCCTCAGTGGACTGCAGCCACCTGGCTCAGGCCTTGGTAAGGACCCCGCTGGGTTTTGGGGGGCACCTCTCAACATCCACACCCACAGTTAGCCCATCAGTATTGCACCTGCAACCGACTTCCTGCAACCGCCTTACCCTAAGACCCCCCAGTCCCTCCCCAACCCCACACAGGCCTCAGCCAAATCCCAACCCTCTCTCCCACTTTGACTGTCCTCTGTCTGGGCCCCAGGCCCAACTGTGGGGCTGTGGTCTGAGCTCTCTTGGTTAGGGCAAGAAATGGACTGGGGTGTAGACCCCCCAAGTATTGTAGGGATAATGGTAGGTATCTCTGCTCAGGCCTAGGCCCCATCCAGAGTCTGACACCCTTATAAAACGGGAGGGGGTTAGGACCCGCCCGGGAGTTTGAGGCCATTCTAAGGGGAGGGATCCTGCCCTCCCCCAAGCTGGGCTTTTCCTTTTGCAAACAAAACTACCCACCCTAGTAGCCAGTCATCCGCCAGACCCCAGGGATGCCAGACCCTTGACGGGGGGGGGGCGGGGGGGGAGGGGCGGGGGGGGCCACCGTAGACGCATGCTTGCACATTTAGGGGCCCGGGAGACCCGCCCTTTCGCCGACTGTGACGCCGCAGGATTTGGGCCTGGTGGGGGATGCTCCGGCTGGGACGGGGCGGAAGAACGACCCCTCTGCCCAAGCCGGAACGGCGCCCGGCAGGAAAGTTTCCTTCACGCCCCCCACCCCCCATTCATTGCTGCGCTCCGTGAAAGGCCCGGGGGCGGAGGCGGGGCGAGGCCCCACCCCACGCCAGGCACCTCGCAAAGGGAGGGGAGGGGGCGCGCGCTCAGTCCCGCCCGCACCTTCCCGCCCTCCCCGCCGCCCCTACCAGACCGAGCCGTAGGCCCCGGAGCCCACCGGGCGCAGCCCCTGCAGCCGCTGCGGCACCTCCCACACCGTCTTGTTGAGCTCCAGCCGGTAGAAGCCTGCGCGCGGGCCCGACATGTCCGAAGCGGCCGCCGCCCGGCCCGCGCCCCGCCCCGCGCCCCCGCCCCCGCCCCGCGCCCCCGCCCCGCGCCGGAGCCCGAGCGGAGAGGACGGAGGGCGGCGGGAGGAGGCGGCGGCGGGCGGCGGCGCGGCGCGGGGCGGGGCCGGGGGGGCGTTGCGCGGGGACAGACGTGCGGCTTCCTGCCCCTGGCTGGCGGCGGCCCGGCGCGAACCAGCCCTGCTGTGCCCTCCCCAGCTCGGAGCCGGAGCCGCTGCGCCGGCGCAGGGGGCGGGACGGCCGGCGTCCAGCTCGCCGCCCAGCCCGCTTCTACCTCCTGGGGTCCGCACTTCCCCAAGCATCCGCCCGCATTCTGTGCTCGGCCGGGCACCGCCCCATCCAGGACGCCACCGCCTCCGCTCCCCGCACCCTCCCCTGCCGGCGCCCGTGCCTGTACCTCCGGTGCATGCATCCCTCCTCGCCCACCCCCTGCTCCGGGCTCTGCACGACACCCCCCACGCAGCCTGCTCCCTCAGAAATGAAGGGGAACCCTCACAATCAAAAAAGCCAGGGCAGAGACTTTTTTCATCAACATAGAAAAACTGGACGTGTGGTTGGATAGGTCCCCCTGTGGGGTGGGCAGATGGACGCGCCCTGGATCCTGGGCTCGCCGGCTTCCCTCTCCCTTGGAGGCCGTTCTGGCCCTGGCGGTGTGGTTCGTCACCTGGTAAACTTCCGTGGACTGATAGCGGCCTCCCGCCCTGGTCAGGCCTGGGGAACCAGCCCTGTCAGGACCAGGGACAGCGGCGGCACCAGGGGACCTTTGAGGTTCTGTACCCATAAAAGGCTATTCCCCAAACGGGTCCTTCTTGGTTCCTGGTACCTTTCCTCCTTCCAACCCCGCCTGCCTCGGCTGCCACCTCTCCCAGGAAGCCCACCCTGACTTTCCTAGGTACTGAGGAGCTCCTCCGGTACATAACCGCAGTTCCTCCTCCGCGCACGACACGTTTCCTCGCGTCCTCTCATAGCCTGTTAGGGTGATTTCTCACAGGCTGCTGTCACCGACAGGGGAATGTTCTCATTACAGCAAGACAGCTTCCCCGCATCTGTCTAGCGCTCTGGGCCCGCGCATCTTTACTTCCCACTTAGAAGTGACAAGTGTTCGGAGACAGCATTGCCCCCGTGACAGATGCCCCCTGACCCTCTCTGTGGGGAGAGCACTGGGGGGCGCTGCCGTTTCCCAGGAACGTGGGCAATCGGGCTGTGTTACCCGACCTTCTACCTCTTCCAGACAAACTACAGCCCGGGTTTTTATGTGAAATCTCCTGATTTTAAATATTGGCAGCCAGATTAAAATAAAACATGTCAACGCAATACCGGGCAAACATAACTGCCCAGCGAACCCGGACCGTGGCGTGAGCCGCGTCCCAGTCGAGCCGGCCAGCCTTGCACGACTTCGGCCAAGTCCCGAGCCATCCCCAGCCTCAGTTTCCCTTCTGGGAGCCGGTGTCGGCCGGGCGGTGATGGGGGGAGGACACCGGCGTCCGCTCCCACAGCCGCCTCTCTCCGCGCCTCCTTGGGAGTCCCGGCCCTGCGGTGCGTTTCCCGAGCCGGCAGAGGCGCGCCGGGGTTTTGTGCGGAGTCGGTGGAGCTTCAGCTCCGGGCCGGGAAGAGGCGCGTCCAGCGGCAGGCGGTGGGCGCTGGCCGCGCGGCCGGGCATAAGGGGAGCGGCCTTGGTTTCCGCCGGCCCGGGCCAGGTTCCCATGGCGACAGGTCCCGCCCTTCCTCCCGGCGCGGGGTGGGATTGTGCCGCCCCTAGGGGAGCCCGGGCCCAGCTCAGCGAGTCGGGCGGAGCGGAGGCCCTCCCTCATGATTCATCCCCGGTGCGCACCTGGCCCCCAGGCTGGCGGATCCTGGCCAAGCTGCCTTCTGGGTAGGGTCGGGGTTGTAATACTGCAGAGGGGTTACTAGGGGGTTTCCGGTGGTGGTTAGGGTGGGGAGAGGACACAGGGCCGGACAGGTCCAGGAGTCCCCTGGAGAGGAGACACCGGTGGAGCTGGGCCAAACGTCCACGGTCCTGACTCGCCAGGACTTTGCCCGACTTGAGGACCAGAAAAGGATGGTGGTGGGCTGGAGGGCTGTGGCAGGCTGAGTGGGGCCACAGCAGGGATTTCATTTTTGTTCTCAGGCTGTTGGGGAGCCCTGCTGGACATGTTCACAGCACCACCCTGGCCACCAGGTCCAGAACGACTGTTGCTTGGTCTGGGTGAGAGAGGCCTAAGCCCAGAGAAGTGGGTGGCGCGGAGCGGAGAGCAGCAGGGTATGTGTGGGGGGGTGGCGGGGTGGCAGGTGCTTCAAGTGTGAGCGGGAGCACAAGTGGGGGAGCCAGGCCAAAGAGCTTCCTCCCCAGACAGCAGCCCTGGGCCTGAGGACCCCCATCCCTGTCTCCCTCCACCCTCCCCTGGGATTCAGTTGCCCTCAATATCAAGATCCCACTCCTTGTCTCCATGTCCACTGGTCCAGGCCACCCTTTTTTGGCCACTTACTAGTCTCCTGGCTGCACTTGTCTCTGAGGTCAGAACGACATCCTGTCATGGGGGCCAGGTGATGGGGGGGGTGTTCATGATGTTTAGCAAGCAGGGCATGGCCTTAGGCCGTTTTCTGCAACTTGGAAGGAAAGGTCATTGAGGGTGTGTGTGGCTTCCTCCCACCCTTGCCTCCCTGCCCCCCACATGAGGAGGAAGTGGGGAAGTGGAAACAGGAGGGTGGGTCATCCCTCAGTTTGTCAGCATCCTGACTATTCGAAGCTGGCCTGACCCCCACCACCGCCCCCTCCCACCCCAACATGCATGCCCAATTTCTACCCTTAACCGGCCCCATGAAAGGACAGCCCCCCTGGATCTCTTCACACTCCTGTTCTCCCTGGGGGGTAACCCCATCTGCTGGATCTGCAGCCCCTTCCTCTCTCTCTAAGCTTCACAGAATGTAAGGGGGTCCTGACTCAGCTCTTGCCTGGCTGTCCAGTTTGCGGGGGGAAAGGAGCGGCTTGTGGAGGTCCAGTCTGGAAGCCCAGTGCTCTAGGTTCCCACCTCCCTGCCCCAGGCATCCACAGCTTGGCACTTCCAGACTGTGCCCCACCTGCTTCCGAACAGCTGAATCTCGGGGAACCTAGTGTGGGTCATAACCGTGTCATTTTGGGGTTCCTGGGATGGGGGATGTCAGTTGTTTGTCTAGTACCCCTTCCTTGTGGGAGATATCCACACCTGTTCCATGTGGCTTCTGTGGGGCTGCCCCCGTGCACAGGTGGCTCATGATCAAGGCCTAGCCCATCCCCAGCCACAGCGATGCCCCAAGTCGAGGAGACACAGTCTGGGGTTGCCCATGAACAGCATCCCCACTGTCTGAGGACATAGCAGCATATGCTGGGAAGCAGTTCAGACATCTGAAACCATGTGAGCACCTGAATCCAGCCATATCTGAGGCTGGCCGGACCACCACCATGTCCTTATTTTGGAGCCACCAAATCCCCTTTCTGCTGGGTTGGTGTCCTTGGAGCATTAAGAGCTCTCTCAGGGCAGGCCCTGAACAGTGTGTATTTATTCAATGAAGGGCCCGACATGCTGATGCTGTGTGTGCGTGGACACGTATGTGTGCCTGATAGCTGTGGGGTGGCCTGTCTCACTGCTGTAGCCCTGCATGCAACACGGGGATTGGGAGCAACACCCTTTCCCTATCACCAGAATCCCAGACAACCCCCTCCCTCAGGCATTGGCAAACGTACCCTCACTCTCTGTTACGTGGCCCTTCAGCCTGACTTATGTCCTAAGTCATCCTGGAGCTGTTCTTGGGACCAAGAAGCTGACCCTAATGGCCCCACAGCCTAAGCAGGGGGACCCAGGGCCCTCTCTCCCAGAGTCATGCCAGTGTCTGGTGGGGTTTGCACACAGCAGTGACTTAATGTGTGCTGGCTGGACCATGCCGGTGAAGTACCCCCACCTTAGAAAAGGGGACACTGGTCCCTGAGAGCTCAAGGTCCAGACAATAATCCCAAGCCACGCCCACCCCTGTGGGTGGGGGGCAGGTCCAGCCACTCAGCCCAGGCAAGACAGGCGGGGAATGTCTCGCCACCAGATGGCGCCAGATCCACCCAATCCCACCCCCCCCCCCCCACCCCCACCCCAGCCACCTCCCTATCCCCCTCCCTGTCCCCGTCTGGAGCCAATCTGTTCCAGGATCACCGTCAGCCCCTCTCCTCGCTCCAAACCTCCTCGCCCCAGGCTGGCGGATCCTGGCCAAGGGCAGGGAGGGCGTGGACTCCGCTGCACATTCCCCTGCCCCCACTGCAGCCCTGGCGGCCCAGAGGAACCACCTGCCCACCTGAGCTAGTGTCCACAGAGGAAGATCTTAAGCAGGACAGGCCTGGGAACAGGGGCAGGCAAGCACCGACAGCCAGTCTGCGGCCACCCCAGGAGGAACCCAGCCAACCAGCAGAGTGAAAAAGACAGCTGTATTTGATTTACAATTAACAAGATTTACAAAAGGGGGTGGGGGTGAGGGTGGTCCTGGCAGAGCTGCTCGAACCCCACAGACCTGGGCAGGGCCTCCAGGACAGCCTGTCTGACAGGCGGAAACCTGGACCCCCGTCTGCCGGGGCCCCTCTGGCCACCTGGGCCTCGACGTCTGACGTCCAGCTTGACCTTGGAGGTCGGGCCCGTGGTGCAGAGTCCACCCGGAGTGCCAGCGGCCCCACAGGGCAGGCCAGGTGAGGTCAGGAAGGCATCGTACCATTTTACTCCTCCCGTCCCGGCGGGGCAGACAGACAGTCTGGGCACTAGGCCCTGGGGGCTGCAGGCACTCACACCCCACCCGAACAGGCCAAACCCAGGGATCTCGGGCAGCTGCTGGTGCTCAGGGAGGGGGACCTGAGGCCCCACGGCCCCCAGCGACCCAGCGCAGCGCCAGGGGCGTAAGGCACATTTGCGAATCGCTTGGGAGGTGTGACACAGACACCTGATGCTGG